TTTATATATATATCCCACCAAACTTGCATATGTCAGCAACTTAGCATATTCAACTTATTTAGGTAGCTCTAGCAACTTTTAGATTCGGATAAGTGATTGCCTAAACAAGTATAAATTGTAGACAGTCTTTCACAAAATTATATCATTAGTGCCATAAAAATTGGTGTCTCCTTGGCACCAACATATTGATCGAGATGAGGCTTATAGTATGGTATATACGCGCAACTAATTTAAAGTTTAAAAATTAATCAATGTGCCTTTTTTTTTTTTTACCTGGTAAATAAAAAAAATTTCAATTACTTGTTCTGCTTTCACTGAAGCTTAAAACATTTATCTCTTTTTAAGAAGTTTGAGTATGTTACAGCTGAGTGACTCATTAATTACTAAACAACACATAAGTCTATAATAATTTGGTATAAAAATTTAGAAATATTTCCTTGTAAAATTATATCTTCTGATATAATCTCTCAATAGACTAATAATGGCTGCATTGATGTGCAGCTTCATGAAAAGATCAGAAAATATGGAGGACTATTCCTAGCTAGCTTTTGGACATGTGCAGAGATCTCGAATCCTTAACAAATTAATTTGAGAAGTCAATCTAAAGAAGATGTCAAGGAAATATTGAATAATTAGGATAATTCGATCCAGACAACAAGCAATCCTAGGTTTAGACCAGCGATTACCCGAATTGTCACTTGTAAGGAGTATTCAATGACTGCATGTTTAAGTCTAAACACGAAACCTTAATTAAGAAGGGATTCTCTAAACCTCCATTGCATCAAATATGGAGACATTTAGCTGAGATTATGGCGTATTATATTAATATATACACACACACATATATATATATATATATATTTGGTAAACCAATATTGTCAAAGCTTACATATAGTACTGTAACCACCATTTTCACGCACGTCATCAAGGACGTTTGGTTTATTTAATTAATGCAATACCTAATTAATTGAGATGGCTAAGAAGTGAGAAGGACGGTTACGTTTTCTTCCTCCTTTAGTCCTTTGTGATTAGCATGAAATATATATATATATATATATATATATATATATATATATATATATACACACTGAGAATGCTATCGTATGAACTTTCATCTTCCTTAATTCATCGGATTGAATGTAATGTAATTTCCTGTACTGAATTATACATATAAATGGAAGTGATTTGCTGTTTCTTGGATTATAATAACTTTGTCTGCTAATTAATGGATTTCTTTCTTTCTAATAAGCGAAATGATTAACTTTTTCAAAATTTCAAAAGCATGGGAAAGCCGAACAGCTACCCATCCATTGGATAGTGAAAGCGAAATCCATTCTAAAACTGGGACTGTGTTATTTCTCAAAGAATTTTTATTTTATTTGGTATTGGTTATGGTCTAACCAAGTATAGATTAAAAAACAGCCTCATATAACGCCCATGGTAATAGACATTTATTTAAGTGAGCAGGCGGAAGAGAACAAAAGACATTTGATAAAGTTGAGTATATCATGTTATTGGTGCGACTTCTCAATGAAAATACACCATATAATAAAATTATTCTTTTCTACTTACTGAAATTAGTCTCAATAAATTAATATGGTACAAGCTTTATTGATATTGAACATATATATCAATGACGCAACAAGGTTTCGACACTGCAAATCGATTCAAATCTCCCCAAACTTTTTTTGACAAGAAAGCTTTTGACTAAGATTTTGACCCATAATTTGATTGGATTATTGGATGCGACTAGGGAAGAAGAACATCATAAACCGACGATATAATTAATAGAACTTTGAGGCGGACCTGAGTCCCGTTCCATCATGCCACACTATAGTAGTGGAATAAATTGGCTCTAACAGTTTTATGAGTGGACTAGCATCATGTGTGTAAATGATCAACAACATGCATGTGCTGTTTTGATTACTAGGAGCTGTTCTACAATACAAAAGACCAGTCAAATCTGTATACAAAAATTAGTTCAAACTTCAAACCAACGTAACTTTCAATCTGGTTGGAGTTATGATGCCCGCAACGAGCTCAACAGTAGTGCAGCCATTCACGTCTATCAAGTCCGGCCTACTTTTGAAACCGAAATTATTTAGTAAATTATAAAAGGCAATTCTTTAAAATTAGGCCTTTTTCAAAATCAATTTTCATACGACAATGTTGAGAACACTGTCAATCAGATAAAATTTTGAAGTATATGTTTTTTACTTTCAATAATTTTAGAATAAAAAAGGTCATATCAAGCAGCCCCAAAGTAATTAAAATGGACTAACAACGTGAAACAAAAGTTGGAACATATATTAAACAATTATATGGGTGGAAAAGGGTTAATATTTCAAATTACGCTGTCAATTCTGTCATTTGGGTGGAAACAAAGATGCATGGGACAGAAGAAGTTGGTAACATTCAAGAAAAATGAAAAAAAGTCATACACAGCTATACCTTTAGTCTATAATCCACATCAATTGATAGATAGATAAATGTATTAATACTTGATAAATCACTAAAGTTAAGAAATGATATTAATGAGTCTACCCACCTTTTGGAAGAAATGATCATCTTTTGATACAAGACTTCTTAGAGCCGTTCGTTGGAGCTAGCCATGCGGGAATATTTTTTTTTTTAGACTAGATGTATATATTCTAATGTGACTTCGTAATATTCTTTCTCACTCGAATTCACAACGGGTCACTTTATTTATTCGAGGTGGCACATTTGAATGTATTCGAATCGAATGATTGGCGGGACACCGGATTAAAGATTGAATCTAGTTCTGAGACCAACTGTAATGGATTGAGTGCTTCTCAATTCAACCTAAAAGATTAAGTTATTAGATGAAATGAACTACCAATCCATTTATACCCATTACACTTCCCATTCAGATCCGATATGGGCAAGGGTGAATTCAAGAATTGTTAATAAAGGGCTAGTATTGAACATAAATTTAATTACACAATTTCATAAGTAAATTTTTTTTGAATGGGTTAAAAGGGGGGCTAATACTACTATTAAATTTTTTTAAAAAAAAAAATTAGACTGAACATATTATACTAAAATTTTTTTTTTTTTTGAGGGGGGGTCAAGCCCACCCAAGCCCCCTCTGTGTCCCCCACTGGATATGGGACAAGCTCCCTTTTTAAACTTTTCCAGTAAAGTAAATCAATAGAAAGAATGGTGATTTATCTTCTTGTGTGGCGATATGATCATGATCTACTATTATGACAGTTCCAAATCGTTTGAGAAGAGATGTATGATGATGTGTGGACTCTTTGTAACTGCATAGGCATTTTAAAGAAAATTATGATTACTAAAAAGAGAGTGCATAGAGTAGACAATATTTATACGAGTTGAAAGAAACGGACGGTGATAGATGATTTTCAAGAACAAGTGGACACTCTTTACGTTTATCGACACGTTTAGTGCCACTTGAAAGATTTTTTCTTTGTTTAACATGGTATAAAGCACTTCCAATGCTGACTTTACGGTAAATAATATTTACTTTTGGTTTATTTTGTTATACATGTTCATGCTCCAAAAAAATCAATAAGGAGACTACTCTTATATTTGTGCCATGATTGGCATACCTTAATTACATAATTTAACATTTACCTAATAAACTATACAAATTTTTTTTCCCCCAACAGAAAACACATTTTTCAAAATACTATTTAATTTGTCCACACGTATTTTATGAGTTTATTGCATCCTTAATTGATTAAAATATTAAGATTTTTTTTTTTTAAGAATGCAAAGCATGACTTTTTAAAGTGAGAAAGTTATAGACCAACAACATCAACTTTTGGAATATATTATAATATTGTTTTTCTGATATTAGTCTTCAAATTTGGGACAATTGATATTGGTTTGAAATAATTCATAACATATCAGATTTTTTAGTCCAAATCCATCACCAAGTTAGTGATATTGTGTGTTTTGGTTATGTAATTGAGGAACTAAAGCAAATTTTTGAATTTTTCAAGACAAATTTTCTTTACCAAATATGATTTTGATTGCTACCCAAAAGCCTTATGCAACAAAATGATTGTTTTGATATTATCCTAAAACATATTACATGTCAAACGGTCCAAAATCTCTCCACGAGAGAACCAAAAAGAGATGTCACTGCAAAATAGTCACCTATGGCTACTGTGACAAATCCCGAACGAATCAAAAACCCTAAGTATTGACAAGTCTCCCAAAACAGTAATTTAGTGGTATCTTAATTTGGCATGTAGATTGTTCTTGCAATATACTTACATCTTAGTGCAACATATTTTAAAAAAGGAAGAAGAAGTTATTGTTATATAAAGATGTGGTGTAATACTATTGGCTTTGGAAACCAAGCCATGTAATACATTGGCTCAAGCTCAGCTTGGAGCCACGCATGACCAGACGTGGCGAGTGGCGACATAATGCTGGCGACCGCTATTACGGAAGTCCCGAAAGCGATTGCTTATCGGCGGGAAAACAATTTGTGTGCTTTGACTGCTTTAGGGTTTCAGACAACCCGGACAGGATAGCGTGTGATTAGCTCCAAAAATACCCACTCAAAACAGGCCACGTCATATACACGGTGCTTGAATTACTATAATTACCCCCATGCTCTTTGTTTGGCAAAAGTGGGCTAACACGTGTCTCATTTAATTTGGGTTGAATTGTTTCAGCGATTTCGCCTTTTAACCGTGTGTGAGTATAGCCAGAGAAGACACGTCTGCGTCTGGCTGTCGATTAAAAAAGGCCGGTACCGAATCCGTTTGACTTCTCTTTGCTAATCCGTCCGTCCGTCCTTCTCTTTTGTGGGTTTCTATATATATATATATATATATACATACATGCATATATACATATGTATGTATGTATAGGTATGTGCTTAATTCCTAAACTTAACTAAAAATAGCATTACTTTTATTTCGAAAGCTCCAACCCTTGTCTCTCCACCCTTTTAGTGCTTCACTACTTCTATACGTACACACACACGAACTAGTACTACTATGGGAAGAACACCTTGCTGTGATAAAAATGGAGAAGTGAAGAAGGGTCCATGGACGGCAGAGGAAGATCAAATATTGATCGATTACATTCAGAAACATGGGCACGGGAGATGGCGAACCATTCCAAAGAATGCTGGTACATAGATACTCATCTCTCTGGTTACTCTTTTCAACTGAATGTGTTTTCATTTATTGGTAGAATTGATTAAATTTATTTTCAATGTATGTGTTTCAATTCAAAGCTAGTTTAAAGAGTTGGTTTAATTTCATTTTTTCTTAATTTATATATTAATCTGAATATATAGGACTTAAAAGGTGTGGAAAGAGCTGCAGACTTCGCTGGACAAACTACTTGAGACCAGACATCAAGAGAGGGAGATTTTCATTGGAAGAGGAAGAGACCATAATACACTGGCATAGCATTTTGGGAAACAAGTAAGCTGCGGTTTTATTCTCAATTATATTTTTCTCTTCATTGATTTTCGTTTTCTCAAAGCTAAAAAACAGTATGAAAAATGATTTTCAAAGTAATTAGTCAGATCAAATACTAAATGCATTAAAGTAGGTGTTTAGTAAGATCAATTAGGTCAAACTATTGATCCGAAAAATAGGCCTAACTAAGGTTACCTTTTTTTTTTTTCTCCTAATTGGGACTCACACGTACTGCCTCTACTGAAGTTCGAACCTTTAACCTCTTTTTAGAAAATAAGAATCTTATACCGCTAGGTCACAGGCATATTGATAAAAATTACTTACTGTGAGTGACAGCCAAACAGAAGTACCCTATACTTCATTTACAACCTTTGACAACTTCTTGGGCTTAAAAGTCAATTTCATTTATGTCAAAACAATTATATTTTTTTTTCTACTAAATTTACTGTTTTTTAACTTTTCTTTGTTGACTTCTAAAAATAAGGTTGCTAATTGTATCCATCTTAATTAGGTGGTCTATGATCGCTGCTCGCTTACCGGGGAGAACAGATAATGAGATCAAGAACTATTGGAACACCCATATAAGAAAGAAGCTTATGAGAATGGGTATTGATCCGGTGACTCACGGTCCACGCTTCGATCTTGATCAACTCTCCTCATTTCTCAGCTCCTCTGCATACAACTTTTCTACACTAGATGCCCAAACCTTGATTGAGAATATTCAACCTGCAGCTGCATTGATCAATAATCCAAACCTTCTAGATCTAGCAACCACTCTCTTATCTTCCCAATACAAAAATCTACAACTTATTCCACAACATTTTCAAGGTAGCTTACTTCACAATATTCCTCAAATTCAAAACCAATTTCAATCCTTCCAAGAAAACCAGCTCCAAAACACACTTCATCAAGAGTTTCAAGCTTGCACAAGTACTTCTCCGAACACCACCACCACCACCACCAACTTTAAGTGCCCCAGTTCGTTACCAAATTTGTATCAAAGTAATGGAGAGTCTTCAAATTTATCTCAGGGCATTGCTCCGGCGTTAATGGATGCCACCTATCTTAATAACTCTAATGATCAATCCTTCAATGGAATTAATCTATCCCAAAACCAAATATTTCAATTGGAGAATATGAATAATAATAATATGCAACACTTCGGTTTTGGCTCAAGACCTCCACCTACATCTTCATCTACCCATACTCCATTAAACTCATCGTCTGTGACATATGGCAGCCCCGAAGATGAGAGAGACAGCTATGGCAGCGACGTCATATTCAACATCACAAACACCATGGTTGCTGGTGGATTTATGTTAAATTAGAAGTACTTAGGCAGTGGAGCAACATGTTGATATTCATATTCAAAATTAGAGTTTTTATTTTATTTTTAGTTTGGCTTGGAACTTTTTTTATGATCCAATTTTATGGAAGTCTATGCAGATTTATTATTTTAACTTTTTTTTTTTTGTTTTTCCGTGAATTGTGTTGGATCCACAATTCAGTCCTGAGTTTAAAATGATGTCTTAATTAATTAGACAAGTCGTGTGACTTGGAGAATTAGTTCTGTTATTTGCGTATGTGTGTGTAGGCACAAGATATATAAGCAGCATATATATATAAGTGCAATTATTATCATGACAACTAAATATACACAGTAATATATATGAATAATGACAGGAAATTCAACAAATGTACACATCTCGTTAATTTTATGTGAGGAGAATTGATGTCATCGTAACATTTTTCATATTAATGAAATCATGATGTCAATCATTACTCACATAAATTAGACAAATTTTTTGTCCTTTAAACTCTAAATCATTATCCAATATAATATATAATTTTTGCAACAATTTCTCCAACTTATCAATATTTTATAAAATATTAGCTAATCAGGGTTGACTTTAACTTGTTTGCGCTTTGAAATTCAATTCGGTTGGGAATTGTGATTTTCATTGAAGCATGCATGCCTCTCGCATACGTTCACACCACACTAGGTACCTTATATCCTTTTATTTTTCTTTATAAATCTATAATATATGGAGCTGATATTTAAGTGTAAAAACGAATATACATGATAAAATGATAACCAAAAAAATATATGATAGTTCTATCACAGGTATGCAAATTTGGACTAAAATATTTAACTTTCTTATTTTTAAATAAACTGTTATCACAATTGAGCACTCGTATTACGATAATTTGAGGTTTTAATTATTGAGTATAATATTGACGAGGTAATTGAATCTATCAGTTACATTGATTAAAAAAATAAATTTGGTATGAAAATTTGATACATGCGACTAAGAGATTAAATTATCATGACAGTATGAATTGTTGGCTTAAAACAGTCAAATTTGTTAGACTTTTGAATTACTATCATATGTTTTTTTTTAATTGAAAAATGATAATTATCCTGAAATGTCAAACTACAGAGCCGAATGATTCCAAGCCCATCGGGCCAATCGAGTCTCACTTAACTGCATAAGAGCGCCCCGGATCATTTGGTCCTCTGAATTGGCTGTCGATGAGTGTCTGAGGGACACCTGTCAACCTTTGTTGGCAAGGAAGTGGGGACCACTAAAAAAGAATTCCTTTATTGAAATTCTAGGCGAACACGTCATTTTCACCTTCATAATTGTGTTGGCATATGGTCAAACCCTCCCGTAAAAGCTAATGTCACCAACTATGACACGTGGGCTAACAATACTGGATACTTTGCAGTACTTCGGGGCTGGACTTTGGCTCACATGACTTTTAGAACGTGACATTCATGCATGCATTTGGATTCAAGTTGAAATGTTATACCAGTAATATTGAAGGGACTAGGTCCTAATTAGTGATGTTAATTAATAATAAATTATTATCTCTGTGAATTGATAAGTGAGTATTTATCTATCAATTAAATATAGTAATTAAAGATAATATTTTTATTTATTATTGATCCACATTACTAACGAGGATAATATAAATCTTCATTAGTGAGAACCTAAGTACTACTCATATTGAAGAGCCTTTTAAGTCTCATTTTAACTTTGTAGCCTAGAAGCCAATCAGCTTGGATTGAACGGGGCATTCATGCGCCTAATTTGTAGTCATCTCATTGTTTTTTATATACAAAAAGTTTTAATTACATTGGTCGATTTTAAATTTACAATTTCGATTTTAGATTTCCAATTTCTACTGGAATTTATTTGGGAATATATTACCATCATGTTAGGCAATTTTATTTGATTAGGTTGCTTTTCCTCGGTCTCTAATATATTTGCTTTTTATTCTTGTCAATTTTTAATAATTTTTTTTTTTAATTGTAAATCCCACATATATGCTTGTGAGTTGTGAATTTGTGATTTCGTCTCCCTCTAAGTAATTTTTTCGTTTATTTTTTAAAAAAAAGAAAAACAAGGGAACATAATCAATTCGATGGTGAGTACAATTTGGCAAAGACATCTTACCAACTAGGGATGTCAATTTTTACCGCCCCGCCGGGGCCCCGCCCCGTCCCGACCTGTTAATAACGGATATGGGAACACTTGTTATACCGTTGGGGCGGACATGGATATAAATTTTGTACCCGTCGAGGGTCATGGGGCGGGTAAGGGTTCAATATACATATCCTAGGGGCCCCGCCCCGCCCCGCCCCGCATATAACTATATTTAATATATATATATATATATATATATATATATATATATATATATATATATAAGGTATTTTAGCAGCTTATCCAATTACTCATCTCTTACCATCCTAATTTGGGGTGTAAACTTGATATTAAATTTGCTTTTGTTTTGGTTATGGTGGAAGTTGGAGCTTAGAACTTCTTGTAATTTGGTTGTATTAAATTTTTATTTTTGTTTATTATGTTCTCTGAATTATGTTATGTGCATGTTATTTTTTTTTATTTTTGTTAGGATACATAATTTTATTTATGTTGTGTCATTCCTAGGCTTTGCACATTTAAATAGCAGGAGTTTAAGTTCCAAAAAGTGGGGGAAAAAAATTTGTTAGTGGGGCGGGCACGGGGGCACAGTATTTCCTAACGAGGCGGGGCTGGATATGAAAATCCAACCCGTCGCGGGTCTTGGGACGGGCATGGACTTGACAAAAATTAAAAGGGGCGGGGCGGGATTTAGAGAAATCCGCTCCAAACCCGCCCCGTTGTCATCCCTATTACCAACTCAATTTTCACGTGCTTATAAAAAGTAAGAACTCTTGCCTATGAGTTGTTAAAATTTGTCATGTCATTATTTTTGAAAAGTTACATTAACAATTTCAAGAGTTGCATCTATTTTGAAATTTTCAAATATTGGTTAGAGAAGGTATCACAGGTATCACAATCGTACCTTGCTCTCCAAAAATAATAATATTTTAATTTTTTTATATTTAATTTTGTTTTTGGCCAATAAAGTCATTGTTGGCCAAACAGTACCTAAAGGTCTTATTTCAATCAACTGGAGGGAAAATAAATAAAATCAAAATTTGAAATTCAATTTTTTTAGCCAATAAAACCGTTTAGACATTATTTGCCTCAGCCAAATAAAGCCCAAAAAGCAGTTTTTGGGTTTCCGTCTCGCAAAGCACACCCTCAAGACCTTGCCTTGTTTAAAATTTTGGACGGTTAAAAAAAAAAAAAAAAAAAAAATCACGGCCCTCATTTACGAGCCTACTCTTTAAAAACCACTATTCATTCCCTGAGCCTAATTTTCGAGCCCACTTTTTACGATTGGGATGGACCATCTCACTATCTCCCAAATTTATGGGATCCCATTGAAAAAACTCTTAAAATCATTTAAATTTGAGCCATGATTTTTTTATATTTATTTTTCAGTATTTTTTTTATGAAGAAACTCAAAACTAAGATAAGATTGAGCAATCTAATCCATATTTAACCCGAAATCGCTGACTCAAGTTCCATCTCTAAATTATATATACACATACATATATACGTATTAAATTCTATATTTTCACGATATACTACAGTTTAGTCAATTTATTTTTATTTTTTTTAAAAAAACAAAGCAACATGAGAAACAAAAACAACAAAACAAAAACCACCTACCTCAGCCAGGAAGATAATGGAGATCCTTCTCAACCGCCTGTGAGAATAAGAGAGGCCACACCTCCCAACTGAAATCAAAATTTAGTCATTACTGGCCTCAGCCAATAATCTAGTCATTTACTCATTCTCTGTATTAGATAAATAATTAAAACTAACATAAGTCTATGACTCAGAAAAATAATGAAGCCTGAGGTGAATTATATCTAAACTGAAATTTCCTTGTCAAGTTTAAAATCTCAGCATTGTTTTGGCCGGATTTATTCATTTATGCTTGGATTGAAAAATTCAAATTGAATACTACTGCCAGCTTGAGGTTTTGGACTGAATTTTGATCCTGCATGCACGGGCTGCTACCGATTCCCATTATTCCCCAATCCGAATTTCCATTTATTGGTCGGTGGTCATCACCCACATTGTCTGATGTGTTTTGATGACGTATTATCGTTTAACAATTATTCGGTCCAAAATATTTGTTTATTTATTTAAAACATTAATGTAGTACTTTTTATAATATACAAATTTAACTTATAAAAATTAAATTATAGTATCACTATTAATAAATAAAAAAATTATTTTTTTTTCTGTCTTAAAATAAATGTCTGTTTCTTTTTGTGAATTGGGACAGATGGAGTAGATTAGAAGACGGTTATTTTGGGACGATGCAATAAATTACAGTCACAGTACAAGTAGCTGCTTACGAGTCTACGTCAAAAATTACATACCAAATGTTAAAATCTAATCGGTTGGTTTGTTTTTCTAATCTTATCTAGCCCCCTTCAATCGCCGGAAATCTGATACACACAGACACACCATCGCTCACCCATGGTGGCCAGGGTTTTGGAGCGACGACGAGGATGATTCAAGCACCCTCGGGTGAAAATGCCGGCGGGTATCGTACGCCACCTTCCCATCGTAGATCGAATTGCACCTGCTAGCTATGGCCGTTGCAAGGTTTGTAGCTCCAACAACTTTCGCGTTTCATTTGCTGGGTGTTAGATTTCGTTCTCAATGCTTAATTTTGAGTTTGTCATAAATTTTCAATTTCTGTATTGATTTGCACCTGAACATGTTTTGGATTGCTCTGAATTAGGGTTTATATTTACAATTAGATATTAGCAACCGGAAAATCTAAAAGGTACAGACTTTTATAGCACTGAAATTCGCACTAATTTGTTGTCAAAATGTGAAGATGAAAAAGTTTTAATTTAAGCAGGCATTTGCAAATGGAATGGATTTCTTTCTGTTTCATTTATATGTATGCACACGCACAGTGAGACTTCAGAGATAGAGATAGAAAAGTTGGAAATAGGGAGTGATGCAGGCATAAATTCTTTAACAAATAATTTTGAGGAAATTCAGATGGAGAGAAAAATTATGCTGTTAAGCTACTTTCTCTTTCGTGATCAAAGCCTGATCAACAACTTAAAACATGGAAGTGGAGCTTGCTTACTTAAAGAAGTAGAAACTGAAAAAAATTACATCTTGATAGGAAATTGAAGAAGATGGTGTAACATCAACTAATAAGAAGTCATTCTGGAATTGGTACTGCTGCAAAGGCTCCCTTTGTCTCCGACAAATGCGTTCAAGTTTCATGGATATACATTAGTCATCCATGTGGCTGAATGCACATGTATATGTTCAAATAGTGGCATAAAATTTTGCATATGTCTGGTTATAAAAGAAAAGTAGCCAAGTTATGGGCTTTGTTTGTCTCAAATTTCAGTAGCGAAAGGATTAAGAAAACATAAGTCATTCATACAATTGAATGAGTTTGCTTTTCATAGAGTTCTGGTTTCGAAGGTGACATCATTGGCTCCTTCTTTAAAATAGAATCCAATCCAAATATCAAAGAGGCCTCTTTTGATATTAAAGACTTCTAACACCATAAGACAAAGTACCTATTTTCCTACAACCAAGAACAACAGTAATTTTTTCAGTAACGTATTTTTGACTATTCCAACCGAACTTTCTTCTTATTATTATTTTTTAATATTTTTTTATGAGAAACATAATGAGGACGAGAAGTGTGTTCATGCAAGTGGATGAGGTTGCATGCCATTGTGAATATTACAACATTTGTCGGTAACATTGAGGAATGTCCACAACATGATCTGAGTTCTTCTGGGCTTCTGGAAAATGGCATTCCAGGAATAAAGAGGAAATTATTTTCATCCTTGTGATAGCATGTAGAGATGTTTTCATTGAGGGCTCTATATTGTCCGTTTGTAATAACGACACTACAAAGGGTTTAGTTGCCATATCTAAGGTTTATTCTCAAATACAAATGGGTACTAGTTACATGACAATGATACTTTTAAATTCCAAATACCAGTAGTTGCTCAATCTTTTTTTTATTTTTTATTTTATCAAAATGATGAGTATAACTATTGCCTATATTTTCACGTTCAAAATGTTGCTATTATCAAATTCTCATAATCTACATGATATAATAGAAAATTCATTTATTCAGGAAAAAAAACCAATAGCTAATTCATTTTGTTAAATGCAGACATTTGGCGTTTGGAAATGTTAGGAGGCTTGTGCATTCTCTTCTCCCAAGCCAGAAGACCAGCTACTTTAGAATAAATAGTAATGGGACACAATTTACTGTTGGGCTTCCTTACACCCTATGCAGATTGTATTCGCTATATAAACTTTCAAATAAAGGAATTTCATGTACATTATGCAAATCGAAGGAGAACTTGTGGAAGAGTATTGGTTCTAAGAACTTCTATGTCATTTCACCAAGTAATATGATTTCACGCCATGCTGAGATTGCCTGGAAAAGGCTGTCTCATATTTGCTCCTACAGCGGACCTATTTTATCGCCAATAAATAGGATTGCTTGTGCAGTGAGCCTTGCTTTGATTAGATCACAACTGGTAGCTCCTGGTGTTTTTGCTTTCATCATCGGAGAGCTAGCTTGGACACAAAGAACATGGGCAGAGGCAGCACACTTCTCAACAGGGAATACTGTATACATGCATGCACAAGATGGGCATGTTTACTTAACTTCATTTGTGTTCACACTTTTAGAGGGCTTGATATTGTTTCTCAGAGCAATATATTTAGCAATTTTGTTCACACCCTGTATAGCTATGGCTCCTTTTGTGGATTCCTTTGGTATTGAGTTTAGAAAGACATGGCTTCGTGTCATACATCTTACATTAGAAAAAGCCGGCCCAGCATTTATTAAATGGGGTCAATGGGCAGCAACAAGGCCAGATCTCTTCCCCAGAGATATGTGTGCTGAGCTTGCAGAACTTCACACCAAAGCACCAACTCATAACTATGCCTACACAAAAAGAACCATTGAGAAAGCGTTCGGCCGCAAGTTGCCTGAAATTTTTGAAAAATTTGAAGAGGAACCTGTAGCATCTGGAAGTGTCGCCCAAGTTCATCGAGCTACTTTAAAATTCCGACATCCTGGGCAACAGATTAGGCCCTTCCTTGTAGCTGTAAAGGTTAGACATCCAGGTGTCGGCGAAGCAATTAGAAGGGATTTTATATTAATCAATTTGGTTGCAAAAGTTTCGAAGTTCATCCCTGCGCTGAAATGGTTGAGACTGGATGAAAGCATTCAACAGTTTGCTGTTTTCATGATGTCTCAAGTTGATCTTGCCAGGGAAGCAGCTAATTTGAGTCGTTTTATTTACAATTTCCGCAGCTGGAAGGATGTGTCATTCCCGAAACCGCTATATCCCCTGGTGCATCCAGCTGTTCTAGTGGAATCTTACGAGCACGGTGACAGTGTTTTGCACTATGTTGACGAGCTTCAGGGACATGAGCACATTAAAAGTGCACTTGCTCACATTGGGTCTCATGCACTTTTAAAGATGCTTCTGGTACAATTTCTTATGTTTTTGTTGGATTTCTTTTTCTTGTTTTTCTTCTCTATTATTTTCCTTTTGTTAAAATAATGATGATCTTATAGTTGTTGAACTGCGGCTTCCCCTGTTGAGCAATACTGTTGTTTTCATTCAGCAGCAAGAAGCCACTTGTCAGCATAATGTTCACATTAGAGTTTTAGCAAATGGAGCCTGATTCTTTTATCAACTTTTTGAAATTAATTAAAGAGCTATTATACCCTAGGTAGCATAGACACGGACACGCACACGATACAACACGAATACGTCGACACGCTAAATTCTAAAAAAGTAGGACATGGGTACGGTGTGGACACGGCTATATGCAAATATGAGTTTTTATTTATATACATCTATTGAGTAAGAGTATTATAAAACTTTTAAATCATTTCTAATTTCTATACGAAGAGTTGCTCTGACATGATTTAGAAATTGGAGTTATGCCATTATTGTAATGATTTTTATATCATATAAACCATTATTACACTACTTTGTTATTACAATGTTTTTGTTTTAAATTATTAAGGATCTTTTTATGCTTCACTAGTGACCATGTATGTAATACCAATTTTCTTAGAGAAAAAAGTTGAACAATTTAGAATGTGTTCGTACTATTTTAAAGATTACCGGGCATGACTTCTCTACATGTATTTGTGTATATAAGACTAGTGTTAGAAATGACGGAAAGTGTCGGCCAAGTGTCTAGGAAGTGTAGGGGAAGCATCGGCTAAGTGTCGAAAATAATAAAATTTAATTTTTAATTATGGACATGGAAATGAAGTGTCGGATATGTGTCCGAGGAGTGTTCGTAAAGTGTTCTGACATGGATACAGTTCCTTCATAGAAGTGTCCATGCTTTATGTGCTTTCTAGACTATACCGATATGTTTGTCAAGTTATTCAGTTTTTTATTACGGAGTATTAACTATTAAGCTAGAGAAAATTCCAAAGTTTTTGGTAAAACTCAAACCCAGATAGTTGGCATAAAGTGATCTCTTATATTCTTATTTTTTATTTTTAGAGCTCAACTTCAATCCACGTGATTTTGAATTTAACTCATCAATTTGAAAATTTCCATTGTGGATTAATAGTTAATTTCTCCTACTCAAATAATTCAATGATTGTTCTGACATTTTATTTTATTTTTCAGGTAGACAATTTTGTCCATGCGGATATGCATCCTGGAAATATTCTCGTTAGAGTATCTCAAACCAAGGAATCACACAAACCGCTGCTTAAATCAAGACCTCATGTTGTTTTCCTTGATGTAGGCATGACTGCTGAACTTTCTAGGAAGGATCGAGTCAATTTACTGGAGTTCTTTAAGGCTGTGGCGCTTCGAGATGGTCGCTCTGCGGCAGAATGCACTCTTAAATTATCTGAAAAACAGAACTGCCCAGACCCCAAGGCTTTCATTGAGGTGATTCGCAAGCCTTCTATATTTTTTCATTTAAGAAATGGAAGCTAATCCTGGTGACTTCTGCCACATTACTGAACTTCTTTGCATTCATCATTCTCCAAAGACCATTTTGTGCTTTGTACTTCATTTGTAGCAATTTTGTTGCCTATACTCTTAAAAGCATTATTGTTTACATTTCTAGAAAACATGTCTTGATAATTTGAACTTGAAAACTAAATATTTGTTCTAGTGTCTGGAAAAATGTACTATGTTACATCTTTACTTATAAAAAAAATTAAAAATAAATAAATAAAAATAAATAAATAAATTGTACTATGTACATCTGAAACAGTTATGTGGTAGAGGAATTTCTGCAAATTGCTAGAGATAATAAGAAACAAGCCACCTCGTTGACCATCTCTGTTTTCTTTGAAGCTTGTATCATGTAGAAATGAAGATTTGTATATATTGAATATAGAGATACAGAGAGAAGGAGAGACAGCGAGAGAGAGAGACTAAATTGCTCAGCCCATTTTCTCATATATCTTTAACCCTAAAACATAAAGGGAGATATATACAATACAATAAAGGCCTAATTACATAATGGCCACAAACCCTATATCTAATTACAATAAGACCCCAGCATAAATACATATATACATATAAGTGTTTCAACACTCCCCCTCAAGTTGGAGAATGTATAACATATAATCCCAGCTTGGAACAAATTATTTGTAACCGATTATGACCAAGAGCTTTAGTAAACATATCAGCTAATTGATCTTCAAACTTCACGAATGGAGTAGAAATGTTTCCACTCAATATTTTCTCTCGAGTGAAGTGACAATCAACTTCAATGTGCTTGGTTCTTTCATGAAAAACCGGATTGGATGCGATGTGAATAGCTGCTTGGTTATCACAGAACAGTGGAATAGGAGTCTTGACTAGTAACCCAAGTTCTTCAAGAAAATGTTGTATCAACGTTAACTCACTAGAGGTATGGGCCATCGCCCTGTACTCTGCTTCAGCGCTAGACAGTGCTACAACTGTTTGCTTCTTACTTTTCCATGTAACAAGGTTTCCACCAACAAGTGTACAATAGCCTGTAGTAGATTTCCTATCTGAGGGAGAACCAGCCCAGTCAGCATCTATGAAACCTGTCACATTAAGATTACCATTAGATTTATATAGTAATCCAAAACCTGGAGCTTGTTTGAGATATCGAATAATTCGAAGAACAGCATTCCAATGTGGTACTCTCGGAACACTCATGAACTGACTTACAACACTAACTGCATATGAAATGTCAGGTCGGGTGATAGTGAGATAAATTAGTTTCTCAACTAGGCGTCAATATCTGCCATGATCGTCAAATAAATCACCCTCATCAGGTAATAATTTTATATTTGGGTCCATAGGAGCATCAGCAGGGCGAGTACCTAACATACCTGTTTCTTTTAACAAGTCCAACACATATTTTCTTTGAGATAGACTTATACCTTCCTTGGATCTAGCAACTTCAATACCCAAGAAATATTTGAGTTTGCCTAGATCCTTTGTGTGAAACCGATTCTGTAAGAACAATTTTAACTTTGCAATGCCGTCAGAATTATCACCTGTTATAACAATATCATCTACATATACCACAAGAAATATAAAGCCAGTCTTAGTATGTTGGTAAAATACCGAATGATCTGTCTCGCATCTGTTAAGGCCAAAGGAAAGTACCACCTCGGAGAATTTTTCAAACCAAGCCCTTGGAGATTGTTTCAATCCGTACAGGGCCTTTTTAAGCCGACATACAGCATAACGAGACTCCCCCTGAGCAACAAATCCAGGTGGTTGCTCCGTGTAAACCTCTTCATGTAAGTCACCATGTAAGAAAGCATTTTTCACATCTAATTGAAACAATGGCCAATTGCGATTGGCGGCAATAGAGATAAGAATTCGGATAGAAGAAATCTTCGCAACAGGAGAAAAAGTCTCATCATAATCAATACCATAGGTTTGTGTGTATCCCTTTGCAACAAGGCGAGCCTTCAATCGCTCAACAGATCCATCATGGAGATATTTGACAGTGTAGACCCACTTACAACCAACCGTTTTGGAACCGGGGGGTAAGGAAACAAAATCCCATGTCCCATTATGATGAAGAGCATCAATTTCATCTATCATGGCATTGCGCCAAGCTGTATCAGATAGAGCATCCTGCACAATTGTGGGAACAGCAGTAGCAGATAACGTGGATAAAAAACAAGAAAATGAGGGCGATACCTTTTTATAGGAAACAAAGTTAGATATGGGGTGTGCAGTGACACATGAGCGAACACCCTTACGTAATGCAATAGGAAGATCATCAGTAGCAGGAGGAGCCTCAATGGAAGTAGACAATTGGGGGGGGGGGGGGGGGGGGGCTACTCGTGATCGACGGCTATACACTTGAAGTGGCGGTGGCACATGAGGTGATTGTGGTGGGTCACAGGGTAATGAATGTGACACAACAGGCAACGGAAGCAGTAGCTCGGTTTCTAAAGACGAACTATGTGAAGAAAAATAAGGAGTATCCTCAAAAAAGGTAACGTCCATGCACACAAAAGCCTTACGAGTGCTAGGATCCCAACATTTATAACCTTTTTGAGTCCGAGAGTATCCAATAAAGAAACACTTGATGGCACGAGGAGACAATTTATCAGCGCCAGGGCGTAATATGTGAGCAAAACACACACACCCAAAAACACGAGGCGGCAATGCAAATAATGGTTGAGTAGGAAAAACAAAGGAATAAGGACATTTCCAATTAAGAACGGAAGATGGCATACGATTAATTAAATAGCAAGCAGTTAAAGCAGCATCGTCCCAAAATGCTTTTGGTAGATGCATATGTATCATCAATGTACGAGCTATTTCAATTAAATGCCTATTTTTCCGTTCAGCTATGTCATTTTGTTGAGAAGTATAAGAACAAGAAGTTTGGTGCAAAATACCACGAGAGTCGCAAAAACTAGAAATATCACCTTTGACATACTCCATAGCATTATCAGATTGTAAAGTACGTATAACACACCCAAATTGGACCTCAATTTCTTTTAAAAATATTTGAAATATGGAAAACAGTTCAGAACGGTCTTTTATTAAAAACAACCAAGTCATCCTTAAATAATCATCAACAAAGGTAACAAAATAAGAAAAACCTGAGTGACTAGTGTGACGAGCGGGATCCCAAATGTCCGTATGTACTAATTCAAATAAAGAAGACCGACGATTAACAATACGAGGAGGGAAAGGCACTCTATGGTGCTTACCCAACTGACAAGATTCACAATTTAAAATAGACACCGACTCAAGGTAAGGCAAAGCATACTTCAAATACCGCAACGAGGGATGACCTAACCGATAATGCCACTGGTACACAGACATCTAGGAATGTAAAGCAACAGTGGAAGGTTTGCAATCCAAATAGTAAAGGCCATTTCTGTTACTGCCCCCACCAATCGTATGTTTCGTGTTGAGGTCCTGAAAGACACAAGACGAAGGATAAAATGTGACAAAACAGTTCAGAGCTTGAGTCAATTTACTTACAGATAATAAATTAAAGGGAAAATTTGGAACTAATTGCACAGAGGATAAAGAAATGGATGGGGTTAATTTAATTGTTCCTTGGCCAATAATGGAACATGTTCTACCATCAGCTAGAGTAACAAAAGATGAGGAACTAGACTTCTGAAAATTAGAAAATAGAGAGGCATCACCTGTGAGATGGGTAGAAGCCCCAGAGTCAATAACCCAAGGGGATGCTGAAGTCTGTAAATCGGACAAGCATGCAATATTACCTGATTGCACAAAATTAACTACATCAATAGAGTTGGGATGTGTCCGGTTGACCAATGCACTGAACTCAACTTGTGATAGTGATAGTGTCACAGTGTCACTAGTAGATGCAGGTGATGGTAATCCAGAAGTCTGACCGAGAGAGGGATGAGACCCTGCAAGGTCAGAGGAAGACACTGCTTGATTTGCCCATGCTGGTTTCCTATGAAGAGTCCAACAGTTCTCAACAGAATGGTTAGTACCCTTACAGTGGCTGCACATACGAGTGTCACTATGTCCACGACCACGGCGATTGCGACTTCTATCACGGCCACTACCGCCACGAGAACTACCTGAATTTCCACCATACCCTCTGTTGCCACTAGGACTATCACGACCTCTAGAGGACTGTGGAAAAATAGAAGGAATCATCATAGCTTAATTTTCTTTCACTCCAGTGGGCGTCACATGTGATTGTTCTGAAACCCTAAGTAAACGGGAATAAATGTTACCCAAAGATGGGAGTCCTCCATCACCCGCAAGAATCTGGTCCCGAATATTATGAAGGTTCGGGTGTAAACCAGCAAGAAAAATAGAAACAGAAAATTCCTCACGTTGTCGCTTGAGAACATCAGGATCAGTAGTCAAGGGGTGGTACTGATTTAATTCATCTAACAGGCTTTTGAAATTACTGTAATACTCACCAAGGCCTTGACCAGTGAAGTCAGATTGACGAGAATGAAATATCTTTTCATATAATGAATATATGCGAGAAACATTTGTGTCCATAGAGTAAGTTTCTTTAACTGCATCCCAGATTGCCTTGGCAGTGTTGACAAACATAAAAGTGGATGCAATTGAAGGTTCCATACTGTTCCACAACCAGGACATAACCATATAGTTATCAGTTTCCCACTCCTCATATGTTGCTGATGTTTTTGATGGAGGATCAGTTGTAATAAGCTTCAGCTTTCGTCGGGCACCTAAAGAAATCTTTACTGCTTGAGCCCATAGTAAGTAATTGGAATTACTTAATTTCATAGATGTAATTTGCAGCCCAACAGGATCAACATATGTTGCAGAAGATTTAACTCCAGTAGACCCAGAAGCAACATTTGAATCGTCCGACATGGAGATATGAATATGGAAAGAAAAAAAAACTTATCTCCGCCAAGTTAAGATGCCAAATCTGTAGCGAGGAACCAAAAAAGTTGTTGCACCTGAGAAGGCCAGACCAGAGTTGAACCGGGAACAAAAGAAGACTCGGAGCAGAATAGACCCGGTAAGTAAATCGGGCCGGATCTTGAATCGGGTTAAACGGGTCGGATCTTGAGCCGGTCAAACGGCCCGGATCTTGGATCGGACGGTCTGGATCTTGGATCGGGTCAAACGGGCCGGACCTTAAACCGGGTCGGAACAAATCCGGATTATATTAATCTGGATTAGGGTAGCGAGCACCCTGTAGCCAAACACCATTCGTCTCTCAGCTCTCCGGCAAGTACGCAGCAGCAGCGACGATGGAATCACAAGCAGCGATGCACCTCGCGATAGCCGTCGGTGACCAAACAACCAGCAGCAACGACGACGACAGCCGCCGGTGAGCAGCAGCAAGCCAGCAAGCATCGACGGCAAGAGAAAGCGGTGAATTCATTGACAACTGAAACGGCAACAACGCGAGTAACCAAACTGGGTTTCAGATCTGAGACCAAGCAACGAGCAACGAGCAGCGACGACAAGAGAAGGCTGCGAGTTCGTCGACAACCAAAAAACGGCAGCAACACCACCGTCACGAGCTCTGAATAGATCTACAGATTAGATCTATACAAGAACAATGCAATTGCAATTTCCCACACTCACAATTTCGATCCGCTCTGATACGATGTAGAAATGAAGATTTGTATATATTGAATATAGAGATACAGAGAGAAGGAGAGACAGCGAGAGAGAGAGACTAAATTGCTCAGCCCATTTTCTCATATATCTTTAACCCTAAAACATAAAGGGAGATATATACAATACAATAAAGGCCTAATTACATAATGGCCACAAACCCTATATCTAATTACAATAAGACCCCAGCATAAATACATATATACATATAAGTGTTTCAACATATACCATGCATAGATCAATAGATCTCATGTTTGCATTAACAGGGGAAGAAAATCGTTATTGAATATAAGTTGGTGTACTTAACAGTAACTTATATGAATATGGATATCCACTGTTTATAGAATATGCACCAGCAAATTTAAAATCTGAGACTCCGGATTATAATTATTTTGCTTTATATGGGATGGTGCTTCCCATAAAGATTTGTGTATACCCACCCTTTCTTAGATGTCAATTTGTGTCAGGGAGAGTGGAGTGAGCTTCGCTCCCAATTTTGTGACTTGGGTTTTTTGTCAACCAATGCTGTTATGTCGGCCCATCCTTCAACTAATAGATGTATTTAGGCTCTTACCATCTTTAGGCACACTAATTTTTCCTTCACAACTCTAGTTTTGCAGCTTTGGCTGTCTTTCTTGAAATGATTGTACACTATGTTATGCACGCATTTGTGTTATATTGCCATCCAAACATTTTTTCTTGTGATCAAGTTTACATGAAGCCATAATTAGGGTCCTATGGGGACCTTGAGTGTCTCTGTCAATTATCTGGATATTAATTGGGTCTATTAATGTATAATAACAAAACATTATAGTTTCCTGATGTGGTTAAGGGTTTAGAATTAGTATTTTTTTTTTTTCTTAATAAAAAACAGAAATAGAATTATGAGTTCGTGTAAAATAAACTCTTCACTCTCGAACCCTAATCACTCCACTCTCAAACCCTAATATTAGGGTTTGAGAGTGGAGTGATTAGGGTTCGAGAGTGGAGAGTCTATTTTATAATGTTTTCTTAAAAAAAAAATTATAAAATCTTAATAAATCTAAACCCTTAACCAGATCAGGAAACTATAATGTTTTGTTAGTATACAATACTAGACCCAATTAATATCTATATAATTGACTTAACTAACCAATCTCAAACTGAGCGCAGGTTCTTCCTTTCAAAGTGGGCAGTTTGATTGTTCAATTTATTTTGTTGTCTTTTTTGTTATCTCTGCTTAAAGAATAGCTCTAAAAAATCAATTCTCTGTAGTTGTCTTCTTTTTAGTCTCTCTCTCTCTCTCTTCTGAAAAGAGATTTTACTGGTTTAACAGGAAATGGAGAAATCTTTTAATTTCTGGGATTCTGTAGATGGTGATGGCATTCATGCTGCTGAGTGTATGCAACAATTGCTTGAGCAAGTTAGACGTCATAAAGTTAATATTAATGGCAATGTTTGCACTGTGATGGTAACCACTTTGATCCTAGAGGTATCTTCTGGCCTTCATTAAAGTACCACTATTGGCTTTCATACCTACCAAAAAGAAAAATTAATGAAAAAAAGGAAACTTAGAATTTACACTTGACTTTTGTTTTACAGTATTCCTTTGTGGGAAGTTTTTATCATATTTAATGACTCAAAAAGTTCAAATTTTAACTATTTGGTTGCTCTATGACTGCTAACTTTTATGATATGTTTTTATGCAACGTTCTTCTGCAACCCTTAAAGGCTCTTATATTCCCCTTTGTCTTCCCACAATTTGGCTTGTTGATTTTATTTAATGGCTTTCTAGTGCCATTGCATCACTTTCCAACTTGTGGTGGACTAATTGTGGAATCTGCAACACTATGCTCGATAAAATCATTATCAGTAATACTTTCTTGTATTGCAAGTTTGGTATCATAAATCAACTGAAGTATCTTGCCATGTCATCAAGTTTCTTTGGGATTTACAATGTTATAGCAAGTAGATATATCTCTCCTTTTAGTAATTTGTGTTGCTTAATTTGTCAATCTCCAAAACTGGATCATAAATCAACTGGTTACCATTTCTATATATTTTGTCTGATTCCCTATTAGAACCTATTGGCCAGTGAAACATTAATTTTTTATCTAGTGCAATTGGGTCGTGAGAGACTGGGAGTGAACTCCTTCATTTGTTGGAAGTCTCACTTCTTCCATGTGACATAGGCACTCTTTTCAAAGTGTGACTAGGAAGCAGCATCTTCCCCTTTGGGCGTGAAACGAGGCACACTAATGGTGGGTCATTGCAAGTCAGACTCTTAGTTTTTCCTCTTCTTTGGGTATTGGGGTCCATGAAATGCTGACACCCATTTGACATCTGAGTAAACTTTAGTGCCATTCTTTTAACACTTAATATTCATATTGGAGCTACAGTTAACAATCTAAGGTGTCAACACTTACGGGAGATCCATAATTTTGACTAATGAATATTTAAGCAAAACAGACTGCTCCCTTTCTTCCCCCGCCCCCCAAAATATATATCTATATTAATTAGATAATTTTAATAAAATAGGAGAGTCGGGAGTCTATCTAGCACTGATTTATGTTGCTCCCAAAGTGTTGACGCACTCTGTTCCTGAGATCCTTCTCAATGAAAATTGAGAATTTTCTCTTCTTCCATAGTAACATGTTGATATTTTATAGTGTTGGTGTAATCGTCTTTTGTTTCTTTGAGAGCGCTCCCCTTTTAGGCATCTTTAATGAAATCTTACTTATATAAAAAAAAAAAAAATTACATGTTGAGGTTCATATGCTGGACAGGTATTCCAATCTCCCACCAATGTCATGCTGTTGATGCTGGTACGTTGGGGGAAATAGGAGAGTCCATCAAGCATTGACTATAAGTCCTCTCAGTCTTGTCTTCCAAAGTTTTCTAGATTATACATACAAACAACATAAAAAATAAAAAATAAAAAAAAAAGAAAGAAAGAAAGGAAAACAACTGTATTAGCAATAGTACTATATTTTTATGTTATCCATGAATTTCTTTTGCAACTAGTTGCAATAGATCATTCAGAGCCATTTAGCTCAACTTTCATCTTTTTCAATATATTATGTCGTGTATGTGGGTGCATGTGTTTAATAGAGGAAAGGAAAAGGGATCCTATTATTACTGTAACAGCAATGCAGAATTCTCCTTTCAAGGGGATTGGTTTCCAACTTGGGTTCTCTTGTAAATTTAGCTTCAGCAACATTTCCCTTTAGAACCTGTATATGCACCCTCACAAACATACTTTCCCTCCCCTCACACCCTCTCTCTCTCTCTCTCTCTCTGTGCTCGCATGCTTGCCTGAGGCTGTGAACCAATATGCAAGATCTGCAAATCCGTCTACAGTTTGTGGCTCTCGGGAACAGAATGTGTTTTCTCATAAATAGAATTGGGCAGTTTCAGAGCCTAGGAAAAGATGTAGCAAGGATTTTGACTTGAAGGGACAGCATTGTCCTTTAACAGTTATTAATTTGAAGATGCCTTAAGCATCAAATTATGCTGTGGCAATAGCACTATACTCTTGACAATACTTGGTGGAAGAAAATCTTAGCAGTTTTTTGAACTAAATATTTAGAAATGTTAAACGACATTATTGATATTCATTCGTTGAACACAAGAGCTCTTAGTTTTGCTGCCTGCCTTTCTAACAATAGAATTCTAAGAAAATTGCTGCCACGAGTTATCTTTTTAGGTTACAGTAGGTGTTTATCTTCCTTGAAAAAGAATGCTTGAAATTTTTTACTTTCCATGATCTGGTAGAATTTCTTTTAGCTGCAGAATTCGCACATAATTTTTTCTTTCTTACCTTTTTTCTTTTTTTATCCTTTTGCCTTGGAAAAAACTATATTATAATTTAAAAAATAGAAAGGTTAGACATCTGATTTAATCACATTCTAAATTATGTTTTTCCCATTGCTTTTATCTTTTTATTTTCTTCTCTCGTAGGGGTGGCAGCGAAAGCTTGATCCAGAGTATGATGTGATGCAGACACTGCAAACAATGTTATTCAAAGTTGACTGGGCGGAGTCTCTCTTCTACACAATTGAAGGGCTCATGGCCCCATAGAAGGTGCCCATTTGTTCCTTTTTATTCTTGACCAATTTTCGCAAGGTTATTGTTAGAACAAAATGATACCAAATGCAATCTCGAGAAATAATGATACATATAGCTGTCCTGAGAGAAAAAGTGTGTCAAATTTATTCTTTTTTCTCCTTTTTCACACACCTCTTATAGTTTTTGTCTTTAATTGTCTCTAGGAACCCATCAATATGAAGTTGTTTGTTGGAAGAGTAAAAAGTGGCATTCTTTTTCTTTGTGATTTTATTGTCGTGTTCCTTTTGTTCATGTGATGTTGCAATGTTCAAGGTTTGTAACGTACTTCCCTGAATGACTGTGGTACTGCAATTATTTACATGGGGTTCATTTAGTTAATGGATCAGATATTATGATAATACTCTCTTCTTAACAGGGTCAAGCCCGTTTTTTTCTCTTCCCTTTCTCTGAGAGTTGTGGTTTGGAAGGAAAGAAAGAGAGAGAGGGGGTGGGGGTGGTGGGGTGGGGGACACTTTTAAAATTAATAAATTAGTATTGATATATATGTGTGTGTGTCTTTACAACACAAGTCTTAATATATATACTCTTCATATAAAAGTACACCTAATACTCTGAGACAACATTATTTTCGAACACATATTTTGTAATATCACTAGCCAAATTTGGCATTGGACTTTCTTCCCATTTTTCCTTTTGAGAAACTAGTAACAGAACAAGGAAATAAGAAAAAAGAAATTCAGAGGGGACAAAAAAGATGCTAGGGTTTCGTTGGAAGAAAAAGAAGAGGAAAAGGAGGAAGAGGGGAGAGAGAAGTTAGTGTGTACAACTAATTGGCTGGTGTTACATTGTGGTGGTTGCAACTCTTCTCTGTCAGTAGCTTTCCCTTGTTAGTTGAAGAAAGTATACTTTCTGGACAAATAAGTACAATAGCTTGTTACTTTAAATGCACCGGTTAGAAAGTGTGACATAATCCACATTGAGGGTAATACTAGGGAAGAGGAAGGCCAAAGTTAACGTGGGTAGAGTTGGTAAAAAAGGATATGATAGCATGTGGTTTGAGTAATACTATGGCCTTAGATAGAGCGGAATGGAAACGTAAAATTCAAGTGGTGGACCCCAAGTAGTTGGGAAAAAGGCTTGTTGTTTTGTATATGGTAGGATTTTGTAAGAAAAGTTTTGGGTGAGAATATTCAGCCTCTGCTTCTTAATCGTTTCATTTCTCTTTGATGATTGTGGTCACTCTTATTGAGTCGAAGACATACATTTTTGTTAAAGATTGCTAAATTGAGTGTTATCAACCCATAGTAAAGAAGTGTTGAAACAATTGAGTACTCGGTGATGGTTTTGAATCATTTTCGAATTTGTTGGATGGGTTGAAGATCCATTAGCAGATTGAAAGCCAGAGTAATACAAATATGTAGTACATGTACTTGTCCTCCTAAGGTTATGATATCAACATGGCTTACCTCCTTTCTAAAAAATTTGATCACTTCCATGCTATTGATGACCACTTAAAATATGTCAATTCTATGATTAGATAATTACGTACTGGGCTCTATACAGCATTTTGTTAAAAGATGCAGAAAAATTATGTTTCAAGACTGTCTTTAAAAACAGAACTGTGGAGATTCATCATAATATTGGTGGAACAGTTCCTGATAGAAAGCGGACAGTTTAAAGGCAGGCTAGAAACCAGCCAATGATGCCTCTTTTCAGGGCTTTTGTGAATGATTTACAGTATGGTACTGTAGGCTGATCTTTTCAAAGTGTTTGTATTGGAAAATAGCTGTGTTTAAGGGAAGAATGTCATCTCCATGGTAGAGCTTTTGTCTGATCTTGTTTGTAAAAATTGAGGACTGTCATATGTCTTGTTTAAGAAAACACCACTAGACAGTACCATCTATATGGTCAAACACAAGTATAAATACAAACTTATGGGCATCAAGGCCAGTTGATTCATTGAATGAGGTTGAGTACTTTAGCCACCTGTGTAGATTTTTAATTTTCAGTATAACAAGAAGAAGGCTATTGATTGGAAGTTCAGGGCGATGCAGGTATAGAGAAAGGCGGCCTTATATTTTGTGAAATACAGGCTCCTTAATGTAAATCTTTATAGGTTGACGGAGCTGATTAAAAAAAGAGTTGATGTTCTCCAGAATATGGGAGACATTACAGATGAAATAACTACCTTTATATGAGCATATTTATATCCGAAGATCGCTGTTTATCTAATCTTGCTAAGGTTTTGCACTCTATTCCTGATATAAATTTAGCAGTAGGACCCAAAGAAGTAGGGAATTGCTAAAAATGTTCATATGCATGATGAGATTATGATGTACTAAATTTTTTCCAAAAGCAGGTCTATAATTACTTGCTTTGAGGAGATTGCTTTCATTATAGCTTTTCCAAATTTCTAATATGCACATATTGTTTCATCCAAAATTCTAGACAAAGGAAAACTAGACATAAACATCATAATCTGATTCTTAAAGATCAACAAAGAGAAATTTTATGTGAATATATTTTTCAGTTCTTAAGCCTTTCGGTTTTACAAATGATTTAGGGTGGACTCAGTTGGAATGAGTACATGGCCATGAGTAAAATGAATATTAAGGAGGGACTTCACGCCCACCATGGATCTTCGCCGGTTCTGAAATCTGTTTCAACCCATGGAACAAACAACACTTTTCCATCATCAATATCTGCATGTGCCAGAGCCAATGACTGTTCCAAAGTAGGATCAAAAGTCAGTAATTAGCATTTTAAGACACACACACACACACACACACACACACACACACATGGAGAGAGAGAGAGAGAGAGAGAGAGAGAGAGAGTAGTATGTTGGTTACCAGAGGAGCAGGACCTCTAACAACCCTGCCTTGGTTGTTGTATTGAGATCCATGGCATGGGCAGATGAACTTGTTCTCGGCACTATTAAAAGGCACCACACAGCCAAGATGTGTGCAGACTGCGTTAATGCCATAGGTGGCTAGGGTTCTGTCATTCTCTACCACAAGGTAGGTTGGATCTCCCTGCAGCCATTCATTTCAACACAATACAGAGATATCAGATTACAATTTTCTTAAAAAAGAGAAGGTATCAAAAAAAAAAAAAAAAAAAGATGGTAAGAAATGAGAGCACCTTCAAGCCTTGAGTAAGGGTTCTGTCACCAGGTCCATGAGTCTTGAGCCATTCATCTGCAATCACATCATTTCCAAGAGCATCCTTTGCCACGATACCACCTCCTTCACCTCCTGACCTGTTGAAATAAAAAATTTCCATCACATGGATGCCCATCAAACACCTATAAATAAGTTGTCTAGTTTTGTAAATTTGATTGATAATGATGAACTTTTACACCCTTGCAAATTTAAAATTGTTACGTAAAGTTGTTTAAAATTGAAAGACTCTGATTTAGTGAGGCCATCTCATCGTGTGCCATGCTCACTTTGCACAATTAGCACCTTGAATAGCATTAACAAAAGACCCATTTTCACGTTTCTTCCATCTAGAATTTAAACTAAGAAAAGCAATGAATAGGAGACTGACAATTTTTAATCAATCAAATTGAAAATATATGAAATTTCAGGAACAAAGTTAATAAAATTTGCAATGATTTTCAAGGAATACAACATATAAATTTGATATCGTAGTGCGTACAATATGAACGAAAAAGAGTCCGCTATAATTCACAAGACGCTTCAACATCAACAGCATCTTTAATAAAGATTAGGAGAACATATCTACCTCAAATAACAGAAAATCCCTATATTTTGCACTGTTATAAGAGTTGATTCAAAAAATATATTCATATACATACAACTACAAGGGTACTACTACATATACTAGTACTTAGAAAGGGCCTTGTGGTGTCTTCTCTACCCACTTTGAGTGGTGATGATTATAGTTTTTAAAAGGGCAGAATGAGCGTGTGAGTAGTGTGTGTTTCTTGTTAATTTAAAAATAAAAAAAACCTAGTAGTTCACAATAATAATATTGTACTGACCCGGGTGGAGCAAAGAAGGTGGCGTAAGGGACCAACATGAAGCCGGTGGGGAGAGAAATGGCACCGAGAAGAAGCAAATTCATGGTCTCCCTCTTACCCATGTCCGGGACACGGTCGGCCGGGATGCTGGTGGCCTGGCACGTGACCTTCATGCTTCTTTCCTTTCCAGCACCCAATTGATGATGAGTCCTTGTGGACTTCACCATTAGAGCTTGACATGGTGAGAACATCCCATTCTTACTCGAACACAGCTGAAATCCACAACCCAATTAATATATTAACATCATAAAGAGAAGAAGAAATACCCATTTTTATGTTATGTTATGTAGTTGGAAAGAGAGTTTTGGAGGTGAGAGAGTGGTTTACCTGAGAAGGGGTGACAGGAGAGAGAGTAGAGGCAGCCATGGAGCATAGAATTGGGAAACAAAGAGTGTTGGCTCTGTCTGATTATGTGAGAGAGAATGTAAACAATTGGGAATGTGGATAAGTTTAGATGAGTGGTTGATGGAAGATGATTACAGAGCCACATGTTAGAGATTGGGCATTACCAATTGTGCAGATTTGTTACTTGTTTTCACACGTGTGAGCACAACTCCTCCAGTTCACTCGTGTGACATGTGACATTTTTAAAATTTGAAATATGATACGAATTAAATTCCAAAATTTTCCTTCTTATTTATAAAATTCACAATTGATTCATGTTTTTCTATCATAATCTCAAGTCAAGCTCCTCTCCAAGTATTGTTTAATTGTCCCTAAAATAAAAATTATATAAAAATAACATTTGGGGGCATAAAATAATATATGTATGTACTCAAGGATAATAGGTTGTCAAAAGAATGATTTATGTTCACCACATAAAAGATTGTGCATGCAACATTGCACAATAAGGATGTAACAAATATTTTTGATATAATATATTACACAAGTATTATATTTTTTAAATAAACGTGTTACGTTTGAAGTGCTCTTATTATATTATTTTTCAAATTATAATACTTTCAAATTCTTATTTTTATTTTATTATTATTATTATTTTTTTTGCGTGTGTTGATCAATAGTAACAAGCAGGTAAGTAACAATTAGGTATTTCTTAACTGAGGCTCAATGGGGGATTACTGAATTTTATTTATAAAATTATCTATAATTTTTATTAAAATTTTTAAAATGTTCCCACTCAATTTTTTAAAATACCTCACTATAGATTTTTGGTATTCAAAATCGTCCCTCTTATACAATCCTCTAGTATATGTTGCTTGTAACAACTGCATCAAAACTTTAAAAGGAGGTCAGTGGTGTTTTTTAAAATGTGAAACAATTATTATTACAATTTCCTATATATTTACTTTGTATTTATGTAATTTGTCTTCATTATTATCAAAGTGTAATTTAATAAAGAAATGGTACTATGGTCATTTAATGAAAAAAAATAAAGGTAATATGACATTTTGCAACTAAATGTGATAATGCCGCGAGTTTTTGCACAATAAAATACTTATGGGAGTTATTTGTAAATTTGGACATAATTCAAAGAGATTTTTTGCACTTTTCTCTTCCTTAAATTGAGAATGTAACAAATATTTTCAATTTAATATCTTATACTATATTTTTTATATAAATGTGTTACGTTTGAAGTGCTCCTAATTATTACATTATTTTTCAAATTATAATACTGTCAAACTCTTTTTATTGTGTGTGTGTGTGTTTTGATATGAGATGGACTGTTGATCAATGGCAACAAGCTGATAAGTAACAATCAGGAAGGGCTCATTGCTCAATGGGGGCTTCTATTTTTTATTTACTTATAAAATTACCTATAATTTTTATTAAATTTTTTAAAATGTCCTCACTTCATTTTTTAGAATACTTGGCTATAGATTTTTATTATTCAAAGTCGTTCCTCTTATACAATCCTCTATTATGTATTAAGAGGAGGTAGTGGTATTTTTGAAAATGTGAAACAATTATTATTACAATAATTTACTCTGTATTTATGCAATCTGTCTTAATTATTATTATCAAATTTAGTACACATCCGGTTAAATACCTATAATTTTTATTGTGTGTGTGTGTGTGTTTTGATATGAGATGGACTGTTGATCAATGGCAACAAGCTGATAAGTAACAATCAGGAAGGGCTCATTGCTCAATGGGGGCTTCTATTTTTTATTTATTTATAAAATTACCTATAATTTTTATTAAAATTTTTAAAATGTCCTCACTTCATTTTTTAGAAAACTTGGCTATAGATTTTTATTATTCAAAGTCGTTCCTCTTATACAATCCTCTAATATGTATTAAAAGTAGGGAGTGGTATTTTTGAAAATGTGAAACAATTATTATTACAATAATTTACTCTGTATTTATGCAATCTGTCTTAATTATTATTATCAAATTTAGTACACATCCGGTTAAATAGCGGAGCAGACTAAGAGCAGCTTAGCCGGCCATCTCAAAACCATACAACACACGTTCTTTCGGTTTCTCAGACACTCTCTGTCTCTGTGTCTCTCTCACACACACTGAGCATTTCTCTCGATCTCTTTCTCTCTCAAGAAACCTTTTGAGTGAATTCTTACAATGGAGCCTGTAGAGAAGAGACAGAAGCATAGAATCAAGTTGAAGTTGTTTTTGTGTTATCAACCGGTCTCTAAAAAGGACAGTTCGCTCAAACCACACCGTACGGCTATTAACTCTGTAAGAGGCAAAGAGTGTATGGTGATTCCCAATATTTTGACACCTCTTTCTCAAGATAAGTCCACGGTTTCCGCCGGAGATGTTCTTCGTCCCAAGGAAGGGCTTTGCCGACGTTTTTCTCTTCTCAAGGCCGTGTTTTTTGAGGTATTAGTAATCTTATTTTTCATTTTTGTATGGTAATTTTTCAGTATCAATCTCATTGTTTTGATGTCTTAATTTGTTGTCTCATTTTCTAATCTTCAATTTTATATATGTCTGATCACGTGATTCTTGTTTTTTAGATCAAATTCATCAGGGTGTGATAATATATTTTGTTTTCAGTCTTGTCTTGTGATGAACTGCTTGATTTTCAGTTTCATTCATTTTTACTGCCTTTCCAAATATGAAATACGCTCCTTAAAATTAATTAAATTAACAAAATTATCTTCCATTGAAATTGACAGGCTAAGAAGATTCGCAAGAGAAAGGCTGGAATAGCGGAGCTATCTGCCAAAAACAAGAAAATTGTAACCTCAGTTGATGAAAGTAATCTGAATGGAGAATCATCAACCAATTCCACAATTGGTGGGACATCGTTTAGTTCTTCATGTACATCTTCCTCAACTTCCAACTCATGTTCCTCGTCTGAAACCGAAAGAAACGGATCATTTGGAGCAAATTCAATACAATCAAAACAAGTGCATGAGCAGATGATTCCAATCAACAAAGTTGGCGGACACTTCTATTCAGATATTGGATTGTGTTTGCTTCTCAGTATATCTCTATGGGCCTTGATCTTTTGGGGTAGGATTTGTGCTATATTCTGCACTACGACGTCGTTTTTCTGTGCTCCTTGTCTCAACAACTGTTTTTACTCGCCGAAAAACGAGGTTGATTGGCCGGAGATAGATTCGGAGGAGCATAAGGAGAGGGTCATTATGGAAGGAGTGTTGGAGAGGAATCGTTATCCGTCGTTTGGTAGAAGAACTTGGAGTCTTGGACAAGGTAAACTCTAGTCAAACGACCTCGTTTTGTCAACGTTTTTGCCCTAAGGTTGACATTTGGTAACTCAAAACAGTCGCACAGTCCATTTTGGTTCCATTTCCTTCAAACATTTTATCACTGTCAAACTTTCTATCGGATTTGCAAATATTAAGCCAAATAAGTGTAGAAAACTTTGTTTCATATCGATCAGCATGTTCATTTTTTGTTTTAGATCTACCTACACTTAAAACATTTAGTCAGATTTGAACAAATTAAGTTCATGTTATGATCCATCTATTGTTATCAATATGATTTTCTGCACATTAGATCAAATAAGAACGGTTTGCCATGGATTGTAGTAATACATTAGCATATCTTTTTTATTGACCATGATTTAGTGCAATTTAATGGACCCTGAGAATTGAAGGAATAGGGCAACCTACTAATTTAGTTGGTAGAGCGTTTTTCTCCTCAAGTGAAAAAAGGAATAACCATATTAAGAGAGAGGATGATTTTTAATTCTTTATTTAATTTAATATATTATAGGTTTCAATGGAAATGGTTGAGTTAATATATTCTTCCCGCGACATACACTAGATTACACGGTCAAACAATCCAACGGTCATTATTTATTTACACTCTCTAACTGGTTTTTCCTGGCAAATCCAATTAACAGCCCCCTGCTCTCATTAGTTAGAACTCAGAATCCTCCCTCAAAATGTTTTTTCTCGTGAAGTCCAATTAATACTAGCCAAACATGCCCTTAATTAGTGACCCAAGACTAGAGTCAAGAGCTTTAAAAATAATTGTGGAATTAAGGAAGACATGACTGGCTTCCTTGTACTTCGTATAATCGTAAATATGGATTTAAGGAGTACTTGAATTATTTTTAATTTTTAATATTTTTGTTTTCTGAAAATTCAAGCAATTTTTATATACAAGTGTAAAGTGTTGTTATCTGTACAACATTTTTTTCTTTTTTCTTTTTTCTTTTTTGTTTTTTTTGGGTAAGTAGTTATCTGTACAACATTTTTTTTTTTTTCTTTTTTCTTTTTTTTTGGGTAAGTAGTTATCTGTACAACATTTTTTTTTGTTTTTTTTGTTTTTTTGGGTAAAGTTATCCGTACAACATTGATTGGGCATATAGCCCATTGGGAAATTACAAGAGGAAATGAGGACATGTGGAGTGGCCCAATAGCTTAGTAAACAGAACGAAAGATCTAACATGGCGGGGAAGTGAACCACAGCTAAAATACCCACTACAGGCCCGTTCTTCATATAACCGTTGGTTCTACGGTTAGGTCAAAGTCCCCAGTAGCAAACAAGAGTTTCTGGTAATCACTAGCTAATCTCTAGCTAGTACTCAATAGTTTTTTATTTTTTATTTTGGACATAAAAATGGAACTATTCCCAGGTTTTTTTTTTTTTTAAATGGATTAACTAGGGTATCTCAGGATTTGCCGTCACTAATCTTTGGGACCCATACCTCTCCCACATGGGCGTGGTCCCTTAGTAAGTTGACAGCTGTTTACGGTTCAGGTATTTTAGGAGGCTTTTGTGAAATACTGAAATTAACCCATATTACTAATTTTTATAATTTTTTAATGAGGTAAGTACTACACACATTGTTCATGCCTGGACTCCAATCCGTCCCATATTCTGTGTTTCTCCTTTACATTTTGTAAATCAGGCTAGACATGTGCTCGCTCCGTAGCTCTTGTATCAGCTAATTTTGACTTCTCTGTTCTTGTTTAGGCTCCAGTTAATTTAGTCCCCTCCACTTTAGTTCTGTATTGCTTTATTTGTATTTGTTGTTGCTTCAAGAAATTAATGAAATAATAAATCAGAGAACCAGATAAATAAAT